TCGTTCACACACATCTATGGAAAGGACAAGGGGGAAAAAGCACAGGCGCAATCAACGACAGCGATTATTAATGACATTATGTCAGAGAACAGAGCTGTTGGAACTGTAGGTGGGGGATTTGACAACTGTAATTACTTGTCTATCAAACTTTTGTTTTGCTAAGCCGAAATACACAACTGGAAATAAGTTGAATAGAATATGCATCTGTAATTAATCATTTTATTTAGCGAGGAGAAACGACATATTAAAATTATCAAAAGGGAAAGTATGCGTCTAAAACTGACTTTTTTCCTCTTGCATTAAGTCATTCCAAACATAATGGCAATGGATGTCGGTAGGTTTACTTTAATGACAAGGAAAGCCCGTTATAATTGACCGTTTGTAGAAGCCACACCCCCTAGTTATTGTTACTAAGCCAGTCAAACCAATGGTCAAACACGACCAGCTCGACAGATTGCCATGATGGGAAGAGAAATACCCGTGCGTGTCAGTGACCTTTTTTGGAGAAATACCTCCACGATATCCTCCAGATCGGGGCAAAAGGGGTTACAGTAGGCTATTCAGTGGAGGGATATATATTTAAAATTTTAAAAATACGCAATGAAGGAGACACGACTACTACTGAGGCGAATACGGTCTCAAGCGAAATCTGAGAAAGCCCATGACCTGTACCTCAAATGCAACCAGCTCAGCCTTGAAGAAGATTTTGCAAGCTGGTTCAGTGGCTAATTGTTTGGAATTAGAAATATGAACTCGTGCTGCATATTTAGTAATTTTGCCTCAGGTACAGGATTATAAATTTGCTTTAACAAGCAGGTTCTTCATTACCACAGCAACCGCTTAACCATACATTATTTAAGGTTATTTCTATTGATATACGAACTGATGTTGTCAAGTAAGCTTCATGCTTACCACTTCACCATCTTGCTTGGAGTCAATGTTTGACAGACCTGCTCACATAGTAACGGTTGATATGATGTGTGATTGGACAATGGCCGTTTTGAGGGGAGGGGCCGGCGAAAGGTCAATTGTAAGGCGATAGGCATGTATGAGGTCTTTCTGGGTGTTTCTCCCACATATCTGCTTCAAGGTCTTGATAAATTGTGGCATTTCTTTGTTGAAACAAATATTCCTGTAATTATTTTGTCTTTAATGAGTTTAATAAAGAACTGTCTTGTCACGGGTTCTGTCCAAATATACCGCGCCACCTTAACTGTCACCGTCCCGGTACCGGGACGCCGAACTTTACTTCACTATATTTCTATTAAATCCTAATCTAATTATGACAAATTATATATCGTTGGAAAGGTCTAAGACTTCTAAATGGATATTCCACCCCTGTTTTGTGTTAAAAAATGATGTAGGAAGAGTAATTGATGAATTTATGACAAGAGTGCACCTCAAAAAATCTGCATCATAACAGGAGTTTTGACCTTTGTCACAAAAAGTCGATGCACCCACTTTTAATCATTGAAACTTCTGTTTTTATGCTAAAAGTTCATAATAAAACATATAATTTAGTATTTTTCAATAAAAAATAAAAAAATTATAGTATAATATTATCCTCTAAAAATGATAATATTTATATTTATTATCCTCTAAAATATAATATTATTTTTTTATCGCCTTTTTTATTATTTCACATATTTTAGTAGTTATCATAAATTAGGTATCATTTGAAAGCTTATGAACTCAGAATTCATCGTGTGAAAACTGTTTTATAATTGAACGTAGCGTTACCATAGAAATGGTACTTATTTGATCAGGCTCCTCCCCTTTTGGGCGTCATTATATTTCATAATTTATGATCAAAACCTTTTCTAATCTTGACAAAACTGATATTGTCAGAAAGGTCAGAGTCTCAAGGTTCCAAATGTTGTGACATAATTGATATTTGGACAGAAATGTATTAATTTGTTAAGGCAAAATGGATAGAACTAAATTCAATGGAATTCAATGGCACCCGGTGGCTATTTTTGGTCCTACGCCTAAAGAAAATCTCATGGGAACTTCAATTTTTTTGATATCAACTTCAAATTTGGAACATAACTTGATGAGATTTATGGCTTTGATTTTATAGAAATTTTAGAGTAAAAAATATTGTTTTATATAAAATAAAAAATATATAGTACAGTATATTTGATTTACTGTAAAATTAAACTTCCATAACTTTTTCATACTTTCATTTTTTGAAGTGTTTTCACTTCAGCAATATTCTGCTAAGTGTTTTCTTTAAAACAAGACCAAACTTGGGTATATATTCCAAAGCATTCTTAAATTACAACCATTTAAGTTTGAATAGTGCATTTTTAACCCCCATTCTCAAAAAGGGGGGTGACAGCTAAGGGGTTAAAGAATGATCGACTTTCACATACGCAAGGTGACCTGTAAATGCGGAAAAAACTTTTTAAATTGCAGTTTTGCGAGATAATCCTTCTTCTAACTACCTGAAAACCACCTCATTCGAGTGTAAAAAAATTGTCGTCAGCTTCACTTTTGTTTTTGGTGAAGCATTATTCAGCTCTGATAAAGAGACATCCACTCTTGCATTGTGTGGTCGCGCATTTTGGACAGTGTTTCCCAGAAATTGCTTACTGCACCTTTAACGTAGATAGCATTTGTACGTGCATAACTGAAAATAGCTGCTTGAGACATTACCAAAGGAAACTTTTCTTATAAAAAGTGGAAATGTCAACACAGTCTTTCTTCCATTTAGTTCATTTTCTCTACCACTTTCACTCTTGGGTTGACTGATCCATTTCCCTTGCTCTACCTCTCACCTATAGTCATCCATTTCTTCCTTCCCCTCTTTATGTACTTCCTCCCACACTCCCTTTCACTCGGCTTTCCTCTTTTTCAGCTTTTTAGTGTTTCATTCATTTTATCTTCTGACTCTTTCTCTTGCTCTCTAAAACACTTATCCTGTCATTTCTCGCCCCGTGTGTCCGTTCGAGCGCCCACGATGGGCGGAAATGTCTTTAAGTGAGTGATAATTGCTTTTTGAGGTTCTGATTTCAAACTATAGGGTTCAGGCTGCAGTCTGGACACACACTGACTGGAAGGTCTATGTACATTATCTAACCCTTCATTTGCTTCTTGATGCTCAAGTGGGTGGTTCTAATGCAGCTATATCTGCAATTATTGAATATAAAGGTAAACTTTAGTTTCCAATGTTTTCTGCTGCAGTTTATCTACTGAGCAGCTGCTGTGGTGTTGCTCCACTTTTAGACATGCACTTGCAAACTCCCCTAAGCACTTCCCCTCAGGGGAATCCCTGCCGCCATTTTGAAGTGTGTTCCACTTCGTGATGTGGACGAGGGAAGTATATATGAACAGACCCTTGCTCCCTCGATTTTGACCAAGGGAGCGAATAATCTACTTCATATGTGCACTTCAGGCAGCTCCATCTACCCCAATGCAACACGATTGTGACGTCAAAGCATATTGTGTTTAATTTAGGCCTACCCCACCACAAACAACTCTTATGATATTATATATGTGTATATATATATATATATATATATATATATGAAGAGTTCAGATGCAAAAGCCTCTAAATGCCATTTGAAATTTTCTTCTTTAATGATGATTTTTATCAAACTTGTATATTTAAGTTCAGTAATTTCACTTAAATAACAATTAATAGGTAATTATCATTGCCATTTAAGTGAAATCACTGAACTTAAATATACAAGCTTGATAAAAATTATCATTCTAGAAGAAAATTTCAAATGGCACTTAGAGGCTTTTGCATCTGAACTCTTCATATATTATAAAATGTGAACAACTTAAACACACCTAGATATAGAATGCTGCATTAAACAATTTCTTTAGTGAAAAAAATAAATAAATCAATCCCATAGTGGATTCTAAGTGATCAAGGGTTTAGCACATTCCAATTCAGCCTATTGCAAAAGTTCCGCCAGTAGTGGACACTCATGCAATGAAAGCAATGACATATGACATCCGAGTGAACGAGACGGAGTGAAGTTAGTGAGTGAAGGGCATGACAATTTTGGACTGGAACGCATTCCTGGTGTGAGTAAGTTTGTGAATGTAGTGATTTTCAGAAAGACCTCTGTTGCCACCTGGTGTTGATTTGGAAGAAATGCTTGTTTTATGTTGCCAGATTCATTCCAGATTTTCTCCCTCATGTGATGCAGACCAATTTTTTTTCACACTAACTGTAATTTTCAATTGAGATCTGGGGGACATATTATAAGTAATGTTTAATAGAAATTATATTCACACACACACACACACACACACACATATTATACTGTATATACGCTGTAAAAAATATTGCCTTAAAATTTTAAGTTGATTGAACTGGAAAAAGTGAGTTAATACAATGAAGGAGATTGATTTAATCATCAGAAACTCAAAATAATAAGTTATCTTAACTAAATTAATTAAGTTGATCTGACAAAAGAAAAAATGTTGTGATAACAAATCTTGAAAATATTTTTTTACATTGTCAACAATAAAAATTGACAATTGTAAAAGCCCTCAAAAAACGAAAAAAAATTATAAATAACAATAAATGTGTTATATGTAAATGTGTAAATACAAAATATGTATGTATCAATCAATCAATATATATACAGTACATAGTGATTTATATATATTGGATATAATTATATATATATATATATATATATATATATATAGGATATATTTTTGTATTTATATAAAATGGAATTGTATTTTTTTAACAAATAAAAATGGGAAGATGTGTCAGACCTCTTTAATATATATGTCCATAAACAATAAAAATGTTCACTTTTAAAAGCCCTAAAAAAAGTCACAGACTAAACATCTAAGATAATTCAAATAAACTTCAATAATAAATATGTCGCTTAAGAAGAAAAATGGCGTTGAAAGATTATTTATGCGTCCAGATGATATAGTTACAACCTTTACTAGTAAGAGGCAAATGTGTTTCCCATCTGAGAGCTTTGTCATTTATATTTCAGTAACCCTGCTCTTTTTGTGTTCAGGGGAAGGACCCTCTTTATGCCCAGATCAACAAGGGGAAGAAGTGAAGGATCATGGGAACTCTGCACAGACGTGATCAGCGCTGGGGGGAGCAGGAGACCAAAACACTGGAGATCAACTCTTTGCCCTGTGTGCATGTGTGTGTGTGTGTGCACCCATCCGTGTGTATTTGTGTATGAGAGAGAGAGATTGTGTGTGTGTGTGTGTGTGTGTATGAGCGTGGTCACTCCAGGCTGAACGGTCCACTTCTCCAAGCAGCCATCTCTCTAGAGCCGCCCCGTCCCCCTCACGACTTCCTCCGTCACTCCCTCCGCAAAGGATAGAGAGGGACAGACTCTCTCCATACCACTTTCTTTCTTTCTCACTGTGTTTTCTGCACATGACAGCAGGGCGTTGTGGGTGATTTCAACCTTATACACCCCTCATAGCCTTATGAGCCCAGCTCTGCAGCTTCATTCATGCCCTTCGTCCTACTTCCAGTTTCTGCTGGTCTGACTCTCTATAGAGACCGCATTACGGGAAACTCTCGAGAGGTGCCTGTCGGACCCCCAATCACGCATCCGACCCAAGACCACCATGATTCATCACAGAGCGGATCCATCTGTGACTTACGCGATCCATCCTTTAGGGTTTATTTGGTTTTTCCTCTCCCACGTATTTGAGATTCTGCTGCTAGAAAGCTATGCAGAGCTAAAAGAAGAAGAAAACAAACTCAATTTCTCTCTCGGATGGAGAACAGACACACACGAGGAATGACTTTTGCCAAATCTCAAGGTTTTGGAGCAGCGAGGGAACTCGAGGGAACGAACATTGCAAAAACCTGTGATTGAACTGTTCCTTCTCTATAGCTTTTGTACAATACTAATGAGAAAAAAAAAAAAAAAAAAAAACATGACGTTGAAATGGAATTTTTATTTTATAAGTCAAGTGGAGCCCTTGAAGTCGACTTTAGATGTGTTTTAGGGGTAAACATGGCTTTAAGAATCTGATCGTTGGTTTGCCAAACTCATTTTGTAAATAATAATAATTATTATTATTATTGATCATAATAATGACGACAATGACAAATAATAATGACGATGATAATAATAATGGTTCCGATTATAACAGTGTTCATTCCATCCTGTGGACTTCCGTGCCATAAAATAGGCTGGCCTTAGTGATGCAAACTCCTCATGAAACCCAAGCAATATTAACACCAAGCGGTTTTTGTTTGCTTTCTCTGTCTTTTGATTTCAGCAGAATGGTGGAGACTGTCTTTTTAAGTGGCCTGAAACAAACCCAGAGAGACTGTTATTATGACGCCGTCATATTTATGTGATTTCTTTTGGTTTGTTGTCAAGATGAAGCTGGTTAATGCGACAGAGGAAGACCAGAGCTTCTCTCAACGTGTATGTTAATGCAGAAATCTCAAATACGCATGTACACAAACACATTCATTTACAGACCTTAAAGTCAATATGGCATCAAAATGGGCTCTGTTTACTTTTTTTTAATACACCTTTCTGCACATTTATCAGTGCATGCTATTCCAAAGAGAAAATGTCTTCTTATTTTTTCAAGTGTTAAACTTCATTTTTGACTAATATAAACAAGGCCGAACAGCAGATATCCTGACATTCATTTATTGATGGTAAACTACTTAATAATATATATATATATAAATATATATATATATTGGCTCCAATCTGATATATGTAATGCCCACTTTTTACAATTCAGTCAATTCCTAATGTTAATTCCGGTCTCCTATTTGTTGAATATCCTGATTTACTACTGAGACTAAAATGGGTTGCGAAGGCTGTTTCATGTTGACTTTAGGGCCGTCTGATCACATTAAATCACACCAGAATATCTGTCTGCGATCCAGCCTCCAATCAGAGAAAATCACCATGAATGGCATCTGTTTTCATTGCATCTGAAAAGCTCAGAGCATTCCATTACTTTGACAATAACTTCCTCCTATTTTATGGCCAGAGTCCCATTTTAATTTAAAATAAAAGCAGTTTTTGGACCTTCGGGATCTAAATTTTGAGCATTAAGAAGACAAAGGTGAAAATCAAGGTGAACGGGGAGTCCTTTCAATTTCGGTACATTTCTATTTTGCCTTTACCTCAGCTAATGGTTTGGTAATGTAAAAGGACACGTTATTTTTTATCTTGATGATAATGACATTCTACAGTGGATTTTTAGAGCATTTTTTTTCTTTTCTCTTGATTTACGTAACCCACCATGTAATACTGTTACCAATAAACACATCCCAAAACGTTTCTCTGCCTCTCTGCCTTAGCAACAACAAAACAGTAGGAAAAGGCTGTTTTATTCCACATAAGTGTCTCATGGTTCATCAAAAATGACCAGCTGAATATTACCCTCTTGGTAACCCCCATTATTGGACACTTTAGGTTATGAGGAAGATGAATCATGAGCATGACGAGGATATTTCTATAAAATCAACATTAACTTGCTTTTGTGCGGTGCTGCATCCACACCACTAGGTGTCAGGATAAAGTTCAGTAGCACAGTTGTATCTACCAGTGAAACAGCCAGCCTTAGTTACAAACAAACTATCAAATTACCACTTGTTTCTTCAACTTAAACTCATACTAGATTTGGAAGTGAAAAGAGAACATTTTACCATAACTGAAATGTTGTTTCTGGTGTTAAATGATAGCCGCTCAATCTAAATTAGATGCAGAATGTGAATTGAATAACTGAACGAGATAAATGAGCACATTTAGGCATTCCATTGAACACCACTTAAATTCACTCTCAACTTGCGTATGGGGAAAATTAATACATTAGGCCTGCTTAGTTTGTTTTCTTTTTCACAGGAACTTGCTTCAGGAGCAGTTTGGTGTTCTTCTGATCACATAATCAACCATGTCATCCGTGAGTGTAAATTGACATCATGTAAGAAATATCACTAACCAATTTGTACGTCACAGATAAAATGACATTGACTCATTACAATTAAGATTCCTTTTCAGGTATCGAGGGTGATTTAGCAGAGTAAGAGCTAGTTTCCTTTCTTCTTATGTAAATTCCTGCACTCGTTTGCACATTGCTTTGACTTTTTGTGTAAGAATTACGTGCTAGATGTGTCTTTTAGCCAAAAGTGCTTTCATTCTAAATTGTATTGGCCAAAATGAGTGTTTGATAATCATTCAATCATTTGTTTTATTTTATTTTTGCTTAATACAGCATTTCCTATCCCAATATTTATCTCATTGTTAATTCCTCACTGACAATATATCCCACTATAGGGCCAGCGAGTGAATTAACACTATAGTTTTTCCTATCATCTTTTTTTAGTCAAAACTACACTGTTAAAACATTTTTTCATGATTTGTAATCACAACATTTTTTCTTTTGTCAAATCAACTTAAATAATTGATGTAGTTCAGATAACGAAATATTTTGAGTTTCTGATGATTAAATCGATCTCCATTGCATTAACTCAATTTTTACATTTCAATGAACTAATTTTAAGGCAATCAGGTTACTTAATTTTTTAAGTTAAACCAACATTACAGTGTAAGATACATAAATTGACTTTCAAACATAAAGCGACCCCAGGAAGAAACAACTTAGTCTCCTTTATTGTCGAATTTCAGATTTTCAGATGTAAAGTTAAGCAACATCTGTTTTAAAATTGAATTTAAAGCAAAATAACTGACTTTGATTAGATTCTTTAAGACTGTTCTCCTGAGGGTAAAGCACGTCCTCTATGAAAGTAATCACAATATTGGCCAATACTTTTATGTTTCTTCTAGCCGACCTGGCAACGAGAGTTTGATTTAGGTTGTTTGACAATAGAAGCTGTGCCTTCTTAGATTTCTGTGGTTCTTGACAGACCACATTCTTTGAGAATGAAAACAGTCCTTTGCTGGCGTTCAGTGAAGTGACTTGTTTGACGAGACATTCCTTTATCTCGTCATTAGCACATGAACATGCTCATCCAACCTCATTCCAGTCTGAGGGTTAATGGGCGAGCTCTCACTCTATGTGCTATTTATCCTCTTGACAACTGCGACACAACACCATTTTGTTCTTACATGCTGAATTTACAGGACATTTTGAATCATAAAGGAGTAACTCAATGGATTATTAATTATGAGGGGTTGAGGAGAGAGAGAATTATCTCTTTTTGAGGAACTGTTGGAAAACTTTGAGTCACAATGATGGAACAGGTGAGAAACCGTGACAATTTTTAATATTAGCAACTTTTAAATGTGATCTATGCTTTGTTTTGTTTTTTTTTTTTTGTTTTTAGTTTTTTTACATAGATTGTTTAAACACAAATTAATTCATGTTAATTTGTTAAGAAAATCAAATTTTGCTCACAAAAAGTACCAATGACATCTAATTTTGGTAGTACAATGCTATTCTTTCACGTAAATATCATAAATATAGAAATCGTTAAGTACCATGGTATTGCTGTCTCTTTTGTGAGTACTCAGGTTATTGATTTATTAAATTTATTTGACACCAGCCATACTTTTGATGGAAATAACCAGAAGTTTCTTAATAGAACTCGATAGCCTAGATTGTCTGCTCAGATTACAGATTTATACCAAATGTTATTGTAGATTTTGACATTGACGATGTGAATTTATGGAATTTGTTTGGGCAATGATAGCGTCATCAAATTACCTTCCCACACAAAGTGGATGCTGTTGTGTTGTGCAACAAAGCAGTTTATTTTTAAACTCTTAAATATTGCTGACAATACAAACCTATCATATGCATTTAAATCATATGCTTGTCATAGTGATATGTAAGGTTTACTTTGATATTTTTAACATTTGCTACATTTCACACATCAGGATGAATCAATGGACTTTAAAACCCTGAAGGAAAGGTTCCAGGGTGAAAATGGTCTGAAGATCCAGACTAAACCTGCTCTCCCAGAGAAACCCAAAACCATCCCTCCGCTGCCAAAAGCCAGCAATTCTTTGATCTCATCTATCAATAGTGCCGTGCAAAAAGGGACGTTGCATGCACCACGAGTAGTCTTCAAAGATGACAAAAAACTCAGTCGCCAGCTCTCTCCACCCTGGGGATTGAAGACTAGAGAGAACCAGTCCATTAAAAATGCTGAACATCCAAATAATAACCAGAAGGAGGTTAACACTTTTAAGCAGACTATGAAAGACAGGAATCTTCCACTGGTTCTGCCAGTAGGTCCCAAAAATGCCGAAACCCCGGAGTCCGTATCCAGTCCACTGACACCTGTGTCCGTTTCACCATTCAAAGTGACAACACCCAAAAAGTTTGTATTTACCCCTCAAAAAACTAGTAAAAATGAATGTGAGAAGTCCGACCCTGTGAAGGGGTAAACAGAAAATCTTTGAAGGATAGAAAACTCCCACTAGTTCTACCTGTGGCTCCAAAAAAATCAGAAACCCCAGAGCCTGATTCCAGCCCACTTACACCTGTACAAGTGTTCACACCCAATCATTTTGAAATTACCGCTCAAAAAACTAGCAAAGATGACAATGCAAAGCCAGACACTGCTCAGGAGGTCAACATTGTCAAAAAGTCTCTGAAGGACAGGAATCTTCCACTCGTTCTGCCAGTGCCTGCAATAAAAGCTGATGCCCCAGAGCTTGAATCCAGCCTTGCTACACCAGATTCCATTTCACCAGTCAAAGTGTCCACACCTAAGAATTTTGTATTTACCCCTCAAAAAACTAGCAACGATGAGAATGAGAATGTAGACACTGCTAAGAAGGTCGACATTGCCAAAAAGTCTCTGAAGGACAGTAATCTTCCACTCGTTCTGCCAGTGGCTACAATAAAAGCTGATACCCTAGAGCCTGAATCCAGCCCATATACACCTGTTTCCATTTCACCAGTCAAAGTGTCCGTGCCCGATAATTTTGTATTTGCAACTCAAAAAACTAGCGAAGATGAAAATGATGCAGTGGAAATCCCAACTCCAGCTAGTCGTACCCCTGCTCCAGGTAACTCGGTTCCTGCTGGCTCATCTGTAACAGCCAGTCCTCCTATGGAAAGTGTACCTGTTGTCCCTTCTCAGAGTTCAGCTGGAACACCACCTATCCCCAACATTCCTGCCCCAAGCATTCCAGCTCCAGGTATTCCGACCTCTGCCAGCCCTGACCCAAAGATTCCAGAACCAGCAATTCCATCACCAATTATTCCCTCTCAAACTGTTCCTAAATCAAAAAGTTCTAAGCCAGATACCACTATTTCAACTCCTCCTCACCCTGAACCTCTTAAACCAAACATAAATATGCTCAGTTTATCAGAAGTTTTTCCTCCCCCTGAAGGAAGTCCACCTCCGGAGTTCACGGATATTCCTCCCCCTGTTCTTTTTGGTGATTTTCCTGATGGAGACCTTACTGAGCAAGCTATACCCACTCCATCGATCCGTACATTTATCGAACCAGCTCCCAAGAGTCCAGTTGTCTCCAGGTTAGCCTCCCCTGCCCCATCCACCCCTACAGTGATATCCACAGAGCCCTTGGTGATGCCCATAGAGTATACACCTGGTCCAGACTCAAGACTTATAGTCTCAAGCCCTCTTCCATATATTCATTCTCCAGCTGCACCTGTCGATGTGGTTCTTGAGAACGCAAAAGCTCTTAGTAACAATACAGCTATTAACAAAGAGAGCACTGAGGATGACCAGTCCTCATCCAAGACGCTTTCAGCCTTGGCGAGAGCGGAGGAGATGGCCTCAGTTAAACGGACACCAAACGATAGCCGAATATTTCGCTTTCTGGAAAGGGCTAAGAGAAAGAGCACAACCCCAATTGAGACAGCTACTCCCGAGATACCTCTGCCTGAAACTATCACACCTCTGCCTGAGACTATCACAACTGAGGTGACTCAACCTAAACTAGCTACACCTGAAACAGCCTCACCACAGTTTGCCACAACTGTAGAGCCATTGCCTGAGAAAGCCCCACCTGTACCAGAAGGGTTTGATATACCTGAACTCCCCCCAGTTGATTATGTAGATAATACTCGGGTGCCAACTAAAACCAACCCGGCTGAAAGTGCCAAGGATAATGGCCTTGATCACAGTAAGTATCTGTTTTAAGCAGGGTGGACACTGTGTGAGCTTGCCCAGAATTGTGTTGTCTAAGATCAATTTCATCCATCGTAGAAGGTTATTCTTATTGTAGGGCAGTCTTGTATCAATAAGCAAATCAACACAAATCCATTTTTGATAAACTTTTCATAAATGTAGAAACCTTTTAGCAGTGTTTAAATGCCTTTTGATTGTGTTATGCGGATTCCATACGTCAGGGAGGGTTGGTATGCAGGATATGTAAGTCATTTTGTGGCTTGTGTTGGGTAACATATTTTTCATAATCAGAAAGACAAAAAATATTTTGTCTCAATGACTTATACTTTAGAGTAAGACATTTTAGTTTTTAGTTAAACTAAATGCTAATTAGGATTACATATATCATCGTAAGTAATTGTTGTAATTAGACCATATTGCTCATAGAGACATCCTTCAAAAGAAAATAATTGTTTTCATTACAGCTTTGTATAAAATTTCATTTAATTTCTTTTTAATGACATATAATTGGGTATTATTACTAAATTTGTGAAACGAGAAACACTTTGTACCATCTAATGTATTTGATCAGGCTTATGATTTTATAAGTATTAGCATCATGGTTCCTCCATTTTCATTCCATGGGCTTCCTCGACCTCATCGTTTTTATTCGCTTTCCAGACATAACTTTCGCTCTCTCTTCTTCATGCTTCTTTTTGTGAGTTATAAGTTTTGGTATTTCTTTTTTTCTTGTTTGTTTTAGAATTCAGCAATTGCATGGAAAAATGTCTTAATTTAAAAAAATATATATATATATATATATATATATATATATATATATATATATATATATGAAGAATTCAGATGCAAAAGCCTCTAAGTGCCATTTGAAATTTTCTTCTAGAATGATCATTTTTATCAAGCTTGTATATTTAAGTTCAGTCATTTCACTTAAATTGCAATGAGGACTACCTATTAATTGTCATTTAAGTGAAATTACTGAACTTGAATATATAAGCTTGATAAAAATGACCATTTTAGAAGAAAATTTCAAATGGCATTTAGAGGCTTTTGCATCTGAACTCTTCATATATATATATATATATATATATATATATATATATATATCCAATAAACAAGATAGATTTACTTAGCAAACATAAGTTCATTAGATCACTTTTTTCTTTTTTTGCAAAGTGTTTTTTTTAACATGGATTTTTGTAATTTCAATTTAAATTACAATAAACTGACTTAAAAATGTGTTTAATCTTGCATAAATCATAAAAAACAAGTTATAAATTGCTTAAAGGAGTAGTTCACTTAAAAAAAAAAAAACTTTTGCTGGTAATTTACTCACCCCATGTCATCCAAGATGTTAATGTCTTTCTTTCTTCAGTCGAAAAGAAATTAAGGTTTGTGATGAAAACATTCCAGGATTTTCTCCTAGCGAAATGATCGGTCATTTAAAAAATAAATAAATTTTAAGTCAAAATGAACAAATGTTTTTTCGAGTCATTTCGTTCATTCAATGAACGAAGTGACTCGAAAGGATTCATACATTTTTTACAATGTTTTTTTTTTTTTTTTTTTTTTCAAAATGGTGGTGGTCCATTGGTTGTCCATTCTAATCTATTTACTTGTTTCTGCAGCGATGGTGACAGTGGTCAAAAATGTTCACCCCCCTCCCCCTCCGCCTAGGAAGGCTCTGCCAGCCATACCCACTGTGGACCCTCCACTTGAGAAACCAACTCAGTCTCCTGCCAGAGACCTCCAGATTCCCACAACACAATTTGAACCTCTAGAAACACAAGGTTAACTTTCTTAAGATATGTTTCTCAGAAGTGTCTGTCCACTAAATGTGTATATTGACATTTGTTTTCTTCATCAGAAGATTCAATACATGACAACTCATCTGGGGATGTGTTTTATGAAGATTATAAGGAACCCTTGGCTCCAACAGTTTCTACCTTTAGACCTCCATCAATCCCATCATCAGATTCTAGTTCCAGAAGACCAGTTTCAGTTCATGAGGAAGCATTCCTGAAACAGTTGAGCCCAAAACATCAGCTTCAAGAAAATGCGCTTCTGAACACGTGGGATAGAAACATTGGGGATGTGGATTACGGGTCTGTGAACTCTGGCTCTCCAAATCCAGACAGTCAAGCTGCTGTACCTCAGGACTCAATGCGAAGCTCACCTACCTTATCTCCATCAGGGTAAGCCATTAACTTCATGATCATTTAGTGTGGCCACAGAGAGAGTAAAAAAAAGAAGCTTTTGTGTATGTATTGTCAAAATTGAGTTTATTTTTATTCTGACTTTCCTCCAGGACCCTTGAAAGAGGTCACAGTGTTAATGAAGATCAAGCAAGCGGTAAAAAAGTCAAACCAATAAATAATAAGAAACAGAAAGGACCTCCAAAGAGTAAGTGGAATAAGTCTTCACTAATGCTGTTGTGAAGTGTGTTTTCTTGTATTGTTTTCGAGTAAAACAGAAGAAAAAGGTGCAGTGTAGTGATTCATGTTTTCATCTCATCTCTGATAGCCTTCTGACCTCCATAGAAACAGTTTATTTTAGATTATCTTTTTATCTACAAAGTATTCTGCTGACTAAAATATGTTTTGTATCATTTGCGACTTAGATCCATATGATGATTCAGCGGCTGTGGTACGTTTTTTTTTTTTTTTACCATTATTGTTAAAAATAGTTTTAGAATGAGTGTTGAATGTCTGAATATTAATGTCAGGACCTTTTGTTCGCAATACTAATAATCCTACTCTTTAGTGGCATTATCATATGACATGTTCTGTATCTTCTAATTGCATGTTCTGTTGATCTGTTCAAACACGTTGTTGTCTTCAATTAATCATCCAAGGAGGCTCCACCTAAACGGTTGTTCTCCAGGTTTGTAGCAACATTACATATAATTCTTTGTTTTAAAACTCCTGATATCAATTTAATCTGCATCTACATTGCCGAAATACTCTGATTGTAATGATGAAAAACTTCAATCCGCAGGAAGGACTCGGGAAAAGCGGCAAATGAAAAAGAACTAAAGAAGAAAGAGAAACAGCGAGAAAAGGAAAAAGAGAAAGAGAAGGAAAGAGAAAAGAAGGAGCAGAAAGAAAGGGAAAAGAAGGAAAATGAAATGAGAAAAAAATTTAAGGTATATTTTTCTCTTGTATCAGAGACAGCAACATAGTGCCGGTGTTCTGTCGTTTTTTGCTGCCTTGTCGAAAAATGCTACCGTAGCGCGAATTGATCACAGAATGCCGATTAAAGTCGTATGAAATACAATTATAATACAATTCTAAGTTATGAGTAGCTACTGTATACTGTAGACGACTATTTTTACTTTTAAAACGGTGTGAAAAGTAAAAATTATCATAAAAAGTCAACATCTTGTCAAAGTACACCTTTCCTCATAGTAACTGAAAATTTCAGTTATTCTTTTTCAGCTGGCTGGCCGTACAAATATTCATATGGTAGTAAGCATTTTTTAAAGAGAAATTATATATAATAACAGGAAAATGTACCTTTTGTAAAAAAAAAAAAAAAACGGTAAGTAGCAAATCTCGATGGGTAGCATGAATTGTCAGAACACCGGCCCAGATCTGGCCCACATCTGGTACAGTACATCATATGTTGCTGTCTAGTTTTATGCTGATTATTGCAACTCTCACAATCCATTACTTATTACAATTCACATTCCCCTCCTCAGGTGCATTTACCATCACTAAAACCAGATCGTTTTAATCAAAAGAGAAATGAGCCTTACATTTTAATCCCTCGCTAAGAGCAAGAGTCTTTTTCTAATGCACATGGCAAGTTCAGCAAGTGATTTGCACATGCTCATGTGACTGTCTGTGTGTATTGATGTTTAATGCAGATCACAGGCCAGGAAGAGGCCATGTATCACGTTAAAGTGATTGAGGACTGTAAGGGCCGTAAAAACGACCTTCCGGTGAAGGTTGGAGACACCGTGAGCATCATTCGTACCAACAACTGCCCTAAAGGGAAATGGCTGGCTAAGGACAGCAACAACACATGTGAGTGAAACACAACAAATTAATTGAATGCCATTATATGCATATCTTGGCACACACATAGTTAGAAAGACACTAAATCAGCATTACAGTTAAATGGCGTGCAGAAAATAAGCATTGTTATGAATTTACCCTGATAAGGACTAAATGCCTAAATAGATCTGTCACTAAGCAAAGACTTGAACGAGTCCTTGAGCTTTGACTAATCTTTTAGACTGTGTATGTAAGAGCTTATCTCATTTTTCAGATGCTTCTGCTGGAATGCAGATTGTAATGTGCTGTGTGTTGTTTTTTCAGACGGTTATGTCCCGGTGGAGAGTATGGATATGAACATCAATGGAATTATGGAGCTGGGGAAGATGACAACAGCATCTAACAGATCCAACGGCAATGCACACAAAAACACTGAGGAGCTCAGTACAAACAGCAGGTAGCCATCGAAACAAATATAGGCTACTGCAATATACAGTAGTAATGCTGTATTGAGTGCTGATCTTGATCTGCAGTTTACAAATTAGATTTTCTTTATTTTTATCTGTGTTTTTTAGGACCTCAGAGCATTATGACATGAACCAGGAAAGCTGTAAGCATCTTCTTTTAATCATTTTTATAGTATTAAATGTTTTATTTCCTATTATGCTTTGTGTGTTTGATCACAGTACGTATCAGGATATTTTATTGATAGCTTTCTACTGCATCATATAAAGTAGCCCCGCCCACTTTTAAATTGAATTGGTCTAAAAACAAACAAAAAATAACACCCACACGTTATGCATCAAATATTTTCTTCACTTTGATTGTCCCAGAGTACTTAAGAAACCATACTTAAGTAAAAGTAGAGATACCTTAAAGAAAATGTAGTTACAAGTCACCAATTCCACTGCAACTTGAGTCGCAGAGAGCAACATAGTGTTGGCGCAGATCCGGCCCACATCTGGTACATGTGGAATAATTATACTCAAATACTTTACACCTCTGATAACACTTTTTTTGGACACTACGTTGACTTTAAGACCATTATATTATTAAAGTATTGTGGATTACCTTCTTAAAATCATAAATGGTAAAAATTAGAAGACTATGGTATCATAATATCATCTTATACAGAGAACCATAGTACCAACATAATTTCCATAAAGGTAATGTCTTTGGGTTTTGCTGTTTTGGGTGGTTATAATACAGAGTGCAAATCCCACTCTTGACAGGAATTTAAATAGTATGTTTACAGCTGGTGAACGTGATTTCAGCAAGTACCACATGTTCCTGGATCAACTTTCCAATCAACCAATCAGATTAGAGGGACAAGTTTACAGTGTATGCCAAGTGTAGGCTTAGAACCAGGGTGAAGTACTTATGGTGCGTTCTATTATAGCCAACGAACCGACTCGGATCTCGGATATGATGTCACGTCCACACTTCAAGCGTTCTATTATGTTTTGCGTGTCCGAAAAATCGGACGCCACCCGGAAAGCTGTTATAATGGTAGCACTGGCCGAGTACCATGCACTTACATTTAAAAAAAAAATATTATGACTACACCTTATCAAAACGCAGCCATTTGAACTTGAAAAAATGTTCACTTTATGTTCTTCTGTTAGCAACGCTAGCAACGTTAGTAATTGCTCGCACAACAACCGATTCCCATACTTACAGGGGACGCAGTCATACGAGTGATTATAATCGTCATTTAAAGGGATACTCCACTTTTTTTTTTTGGAAATAGGCTCATTTTACAACTCCCCCAGAGTTCAACAGTTGGGTTTTACCGTTTTCGAATCCATTCAGCCGATTTTCTGATATTTAGAAGAATATCAGTAACCAGACAGTTTCTGGTCTCATTGACTTCCATAGTATATTTCTTTTCCTACTATGGTAGTCAATGAGACCAGAAACTGTCTGGTTACTGATATTCTTCTAAATATCAGAAAATCAGCTGAATGGATTTGAAAAATTTGAAGTTGTAAAATGAGCCTATTTCCAAAATAAGTGGAGTATCCCTTTAAAATACCAAAGCGGTTAAAAAAAAAAATGAAAACTCCGAAACGGAATTCTTGCTCGGTGTCCTCACGGTTGTCCGACGTCCAAGAGGAGAAATCCGAGGAAAGGGAGCGTGTTGCTAGGCGTCTGTCTTCCGATTCGGATAAATAATAGAACGCACCACATCACATCAGTGTTATTCACCTTTCATTACCCTCTGATTTTAGGGAAAAGTTATGGGTAGGGTTAGGTTCAGGGGTAGGGATTGGGTAAGGACTACATTTTGGGACAGGAATGTCGACCCAGGATCAACAAAATACAGATCCAGGACTGTCTTGGCAAAATCACGGTGACAGTTATACAGCTATAAGCACTTTATTATTTTATTTTTTCATTGTATTTCTTCAGTCTCAGAAGACAGTGAGGAGTGGACAGTTGATGATGATGATGACCCTGTGTTTGGCTCTCCCAATGAAACCTCACACATGTAAGTATTAACTTGTGTGTTTGTATGTGCACTTTTATTTGTTCTCAGTAACAAAACTTGATTGTTAAGCTATTGCATTATCTACATGAGTATGTTCAATCTTTCAGAGGGCTGAATCAGTCGCTGGCCACACCAGCTCAAGGTGAGTCATTGATGATTAGACATGATGGAAAAATGTTCACAGGAAAACCTAACCACTCTGGGGAAACTGTCATTATAGCTACAGAACGTCATTTAGTTGTTCGTATACATTCATGGAAACCAATTTCCGCCATCTCAGCAGAAAAATACAAATAAAATCAGACAGAGAATCATAATTATGACACAAAATGTTGAAATCATTACCAAAAACCATTACGCAGTCGAAATAATGACCGCAAAACCATTTCTCGTAATCATTTTTGTATTTATTCTGTCTGTTGGTCAGGTCCTGTCCGGCCAACTCAAACTGATTCAGCTTACATGAACGTCCAGTAAGTTCAATTCTATTCACTAAAAATGACACATGCTGTACTGCCTTTGACCTGAAAGAAAAGAATGATCATTCGTTCATTGTGTGTTGTAGACCAAAACAAGAAGCCCTTCAAAGACTATCCACATTCTTTATGACACCCTCTCAACTTCTCCCGCAAGACAGCAACCCAATGTAGGCCATCACTTAACTTATTGTCAATTTACTTTCAAATTCAGTGAAATTGATAGTAAATGATAAGATTACTGGATAGCAAGTGATCATGTTTTATCTACTTCCTTTTTCCTTGTTTGGTCGTTTAAGAATGCCAGAGCCTGAAGCAGGTATGTTTTGCCACTCTGAACGTTAATTCATACACAATTACATCTTCCCACGCTCACTTTTTTTTCTTCTTCTTCTGCTCCTCCACTTCTGGTTTGATCTGTTTAGCGCACGAAGAGGATCCTGACAGCTTGTAAGTATTTTCACAAATATGTGCAAGCTCTCAAACGTAACACAGACAGGATGTATGGGATGTCTCTCAGCTGGAATATGCAGTCAGACTGGTTTTACATGGATGTTTGAGATGTTTTGTTTTGTTTTTCTCAGAAAGCTAGTCTCATTTCTTCAGCCTGCGCAGCACCTGATGACCTGATAATGCAAACTAATGTTGTTGTTGTATATTTCCTTTAGAAATCAACAGGAAGAAAATCTAGAAGTTTCAGAACTGCATTTTCTTCCTCCTCCGGACCTGTACGCCGACATCATAGCTGGAGACTCCGCGCCCATTTACAGCAAGTACGTACATTGTACACATGTTGACATTTTGTGACAACATGCCCCAATAGCAAAACATGTTGTTGCAATATACAGGGTTAGTTATGAAGTTATGTTAGTGTCTTATGAAGTTATGAAAGCATGTTTTTACATTGCTTTAACTCATCAAAATAAGTGTTTTTTTTTTTTTTACTTTTTTATAAGTTATATAAGATTCAACTCATTTTTTTAAGTCATATCAATGTAACTTACAGTAAGTTGAAACGACTTAAACATCCAAGTAGATTGTACTTAAAAATTTGAAGCAGCATTTTTTTTTTGCAATGAAGAGGTATCTGACAGTCTGATATATAAAGTAATAATGAAATATTAATATAATTTAAAATAACTGTTTTCTATATTAATATCTTTTATAATGTCATGTCATTTATTCTTGTGATGTAATCATTACTCCAGTCTTCAGTGTCACATGATCCTTCAGAAATCAGTCTAATATGATGATTTGTGAATTGCTCAAAACACATTTCTTATTATTATCAATAGTTGTGCTGCTTAATATGTTTGTAAAAATACCAACATTTAGGATTATTTGATGAATAGAAAATTCAAATAACAGCACTTATTTGAAATAGAAACTTTTATTTATCATTATGACTGCAAAAATATTTTTTATGATTTTATCTTTTGTCAAATCAAAACTTAGATATAATGTGGTTCAGTAGCATACCATTTTGAGTTTCTATTTATTAAATCAATCTCTACAGTTAAAAATGTTAAGGCAACCAGCTAACTTATTTCTTTTAAGTTAAACCAACAATATTTTTTTTTTGTTGGTTTAACTTAATGTTTACAATTTTGATCAATTGAATGAATCTTTACTGAAAAAAACAAGCAACCTTTTATTCCTGCTTGACTTTTACCATTCAGTGCAGGCTTTAAAAACTTCACCCTGGTCATTTCTGACTCATTTTTTATACTACATTGATGTTTACTGACATTTTAGGGAATATGTTTGTCTATTCTAGGCCAATCAAACTCGTCTCAAAATAGCCGAAAATCTCCGTCTGCAAGAGGAAAAGATGGACTGCTGGATCTTCACTCTGAGTTCATAACCCTCCTGTGGGGCATGATTAGATGAGACCACAGTAAATGTCACCCACACAAGCTCAAGAAGAGATGTGTCTGTCAAGTGGGTAGAATAATGTTTGTGATTGTGCATCTGTCTGTAAGTGGCTGCAGGCAAGTTCTTCTATATTCATGTATATTATGTGCAATCTGTGGGGGGAAAAAAAGCCCATGCGTGGTGCGGTGAGAAGCTCTTCAGATTATTTAGACCCTTGCGTCTAAGTGTTAGTTCACTTTTGTGTGGAAAAGACACTAGTCTGTGTCTAGAGGTTGTCTAAAAAGTTTATAAGTTTTGCATGTTGAAACAGCTTGGCATTTGGGTTTGGTTTTAACAGTAACCACACTTCCATGTAAACCTTTAAATGCAGTAAAAAGTCAGCATTATTTTTGCAATATAATTTACTTATTTCAGTTAGGATTGCAACTTAAATGTTTATATAGCCATACTTTTGTATTTGTATTATTAATTAGTATTACATTATTCATTTTATATTTTACAAGCAGTACTTTGCGTTTAATTGCCCCCAGTCTTCAGGGCTACTCATTAGGGGAAATATGCTGACGCGTGTTTGAGTGCTGTTTATTTAGTTATTCTACTGCATGTACGTTTTCTGCAAACAAATGCCTCAGTTGCATAAAATCTTCTGCCTTTGTTGTTTCAAAACTGTTCCCAAAAATGTCCCGATTTGTCCAGTATAGCTGCTTAAATATGGATTAAATAAATAAATAAAAGTCTGTATGATTTTAATGTTTTTGAAAAAAGCATTTATTTTATTAAAAAATGCATACGTAAAAACATATTTAAAAATAAATTGAAATATCACTGTAAAAAATATTGTTGGTTTAACTTAAAAAAAAAAGTAACTTGGTTGCCTTAAAGTTTTAAGTTCATTGAAATGGAAAAATTAGTTAGTTAAAAGGTTAAAAAATAGTGATTAAATAATTGAATCACCAGAAACTCAAAATATTATGTTATCTGAACTACATAAATGATCTAAGTTGATTTGACAAAAGAAAAAATGTTGTGATTACAAATCATGAAAATATTTTTTTACAGTGTATAATATGCCTCTATTTTAATATATTTTAATTTAATCCTGTGATGGGAAAGCTGCATTTTCTGCATGATTACTCCAGTCTCCAGTGTCGCATGATCCTTCAGAAATCATTTTAATATGCTGATTTGATGATCAAGAAACATTTTACTATAAAAGAAATATTGTTGGTTTAACTAAAAAAAATGAAGTAATCTGGTTGCCTTAAACTTTAAGTTAATTGAAATTGAAAAATTTAGTTACACTACAATGAAGGAGATTGATTTAATCACCAGAAACTCAAAATATTATGTTATATAAACCACATAAACTGTTGTTGATTTGACAGAAGAAAAAAACGTTATGATAACAAATCATGATTTTTTTTATTATTATTATTTTACAGTGTATTAATGTTAAAAATAGTGCAGCTTAATTTTTTTTTTTAATTTTTTTAGGTTTTCCATAACAGTGGGGACTATATGTTCACTGTTAAAAAAAAAATCAATGATCAATACGTTATTGCAACATATGTTTTTACATTGCTTTACATCAAAATGACTTAAGCAATTTCAACTTTCTTTATGTTATACAATATCCAACTATTTTTAACTACTTAAGTTGAAATGACTTAAAAATTCAAGTTCATAGTACTATTTAATAATTTTTAGTGTCGTTGATTTGATTCAAACTGCATGTGTTTGACAGCTATAATGTTGCATAATCAAACATAACTCCACAAACTAAAAATTGCATATACCTCTTTATTTTCCCTAATTTTTTATTTTATTTTTTAACAATACAAAATTAAAGTGCAAATCAGAACAGGAACACCATGCAGTGCATAACTTTTAAAATAAAAAAAACACACACAGACAGGAAGTGACACACACGCATGTACAATACAGACACATGTACACACTGACAGGCAGAGGTTGTCTCCCATCAGGGCTCGGGAACAGGCAGAAAACACATTATTCTCATGTTTCACTGCAGGGAAGCTGTTCATACAGTACATACAACACTACACTGGAGAGAGAGGGAGAGAGATAATATCCAGCACAAACGCCTCTAAATAGACCAAACACTGAACACGGGCTGAAGCCATGGCCGACACACTAATTCCCCTTTGAAACTAATGCGGGTTGTAAAGTTCCTGACCAGTTTTCACAAAACACAGCCATAAAGCTGACATAAAACTGTCATAAGGGACTTATAAGACAAAGATTTACTACAAGGGCGTCAAGCATGCACACATTCCTGCGATTCCCACCCAAGGTTTGCCACTGATAGTAAATAAAAATGGCCAGCAGCAGGGGGCGATAAACTCCCTGAACTATGTGTTTAAGCTTTTACCTCAGCACTTTTTCTCCAAAAAGGTGCACTGATCCTCAGTGACCGGGAGTTAACTTGGGATTTTACTTTAGGGGAGAATGTTAAGAATGCGTAAAGGCTTTAAATTCGGGGAGGACTGTGCAATATATTTCCACGAAAACAACAACATAATCCAGTCTAATCTTCCCCGGCAATCGGTGGTTTGCAGCGAACTGTTAAACTTTCCAGAGGCATCATATAAATGATACGAGAACATTCCATCTTTCTGTTTTACATTCAGTTAAAACTGCAGTATGTATCATAAAAATACAGCATACTGGTACAAAACAAACAAACGCTCTGCTCCATGCACACAATGGTAGACATTTAACCATTCCGTACAGTACAAGACAAGAGGGGGAGATTCAGGACGATCACCACATCTATAGAAAACAGAATTTGGGATAAAGTCTGTTTTTCTGGATTATTGGCAGAAATTAATATGAAAATAACTAGTAGATCTTGTTTTGCAACTACCTCAGCACAAATAAAAACATGACTGGTTCAAATGATTCAGATCTATCCTAGACTGCAACACAGTGTCGGCCCAGATCCAGGCAACATCAAGTGTATCAGATGTGGGCCGGATCTGAGCCGACACTGTGTTGCTGTCTGGGATTGGTTGAACTGAAAACATCACTTTTTTGGCTGTCTTGTTTGATTGAATGATTTCTGCATATAATATTCAATATAAATTACTTTTCAGTCATCTTTCATTGCTATTTCCCGTCTGGCTGTCCACTCGCACACATTGGCACAAAGACAACTACAACAGATCCACTACCTGAATCCCCACTGAAATCCACTTTTTTATATCATTTGTTCACAAGTAAAACTTAAGATGTGAGCTTAAATAAAGAATAAATATGTGTAACTAATAAATACATTGGATCTACTCCATACAAACAACCACACGCATAAACAAATGTGTTAAAGCATTAAAAAAACAACAACAAAAAAAAACGTAATAATCTATTTCATAATCTATTTAAGGCATCACAGGGGGTGGGGTCACGTGGCACCATCTTTTAAATGCTCTTGGCTTGGGTCACTTATTTAGGACACTATATGTTCTCATCAGATACACACCATGTATGTAATGTTAATATCACTATAAATAATATTTATAGTCTATTACTTTACTATAGTTTTGTAAAATACTTACAAAAATACAGAAAACCATCAATAATGGGTTGAATGTGTCATTCACTTTAAAGTGAAAGTGCTTTAATTAAAGGGTTAGTTCACCCAAAAATGAAAATTAAGTCATTAATTACTCACCCCCATGCTGTACCAACCCCGTAAGACCTTCGTTCATCTTCGGAACACAAATAAAGATATTTTTGATTGAATCTGAGAGCTAGATCAGTCCTACATAGACTGCCTAAGGGACTGGCTCTTGACGGCCCATAAAGTCATTAAATAAAAGGTTTAAATATTCCATGTGCCTACAGCGACTCAATTATAAGTTTATCAAGCGACGAGAATACTTTTTGTGCAAAAAAAACATAAATAACGACTTTATTCCACTATTCCATTACTTCCTTATGGCCGCATGCACGAGAACTGAGACGAGGACGTTCTCATTCGTCTACTTCTTGTTACCGGCTGCTCACCGCTTAGGAGTTTTACCGCCCCCTACCGTATAAGATGATGTGCTGATATAGCTGGAAGCGCAAAACTTTCTGTTTACAAGCAGAGGAAGATGCGCGCTGTACATACGCTTTTCAATTAGCGTATTTTCCGCACTATAAGGTGCACTTAAAAGCCTTTAATCTTCTCAAAAAACGACAGTGTTCCTTATAATCCGGAGCGCCTTATATATGGATCATCATTTTATACGGTAAGGGGCGGTAAAACTCCTAAGCGGTGAGCAGCCGGTAACAAGAAGTAGACGAATGAGAACGTCCTCGTCTCAGTTCTCGCGCATGTGCCCATAAGGAAGTAATGAAAGTCGTTATTTATGATTTTCGCACAAAAAGTAGTCTCGTCGCTTGATAAACTTATAATTGAGTCGCTGTAGGCACATGGAATATTTAAACCTTTTCTTTAATGACTTTATGGGCCGTCAAGAGCCAGTCCCTTAGGCAGTCTACAGTATGCAGGACTGATCTAGCTCTCAGATTCAATCAAACATATCTTTATTTGTGTTCCGAAGATGAACGAAGGTCTTACGGGGTTGGAACAGCATGGGGGTGAGTAATTAATGACTTAATTTTCATTTTTGGGTGAACTAACCCTTTAATTAAGTCTTTCTGTCTGTCTGTAATCTCAAGCATTGAGAATATTTTAAGGCCGTCTGATTAAAGGCTCACTCATATCGACAAAATGACTGGCACATTCTCCACTTTATTTGCATTTTAGCCATATCAAGGCACATTTAAGCTGGTCTGTCTGCCCTCGTCCAGCATATTTGTCTCTCTATGGCAGCGGCACAGCCCATGATGTAAGCGAAGCCTCTGAGACAGACAAACAGATAGGTCACGGTCAGCCGTTTCCACTGCAGATGGTGTGTATCATCTGAGATTCACTCTGACATTCACCAACACTGCTATATAAATGTTCTCTGGAGACTGCAAGCCAAAGCCTGAACGCTCAATATAAGTTCTTCACTCTTAAATAAAATGATTTCTTTGCAAAATAAAGAAGAATCTCTAATATAATATCATTCAATAATGATCTGTGCTCTGTATGTATAAACCTATTGTTTTGGTATGGCATTGCAATCAGTAGCTATTAAACTAAACTATGCAACTCAAGTGATCGATATGCGAATAAATATACTGTATAATGCATATTATCAAAAGAAATGTACATATAAAATCAGAAGTGTGTTTATAGTTTTTGAATTCTTTAAACATATGACAATAAGGAAACACCTCTGACTAAAGTGGCCCTAAAAATGTTTTGGACATAATTAATGTTTTAAAGCTACACTGTGTAACTCTTTTAGTTTATTCTTAGCTAAAAACACTTAGTTTTTTCAAAAATATATGTGCTCATTCATGTATATTTACTTTGTTCAAGTAATAAAGTATTCTTGTGAGTGTATAATATGCCATTGAAAATACATACGGGTAAGGGGTTCTAATGTCGGTCGCCATGTTGCCCCTCCATCTTGAAAGTACATTAGCCAAAGAGGGACATACCCGTTAATTCAAGCTTCGCCTTTCACGTTTACGTTTGAGTTAACACTCATGGACGAGGTCGAACTGGAAGCCATGCTAATCTTGGACTACATTGGCCACCATAGGAGTTAAAACAAAATCGAAATTGAGAGGAACAGAAACTAATATTCACTGGATGGTCATATACATTTTCACCACTAGATGGGGGTAAAAATCACACAGTGTAGCTTTAAAATAATAAAAGCTATACATATACAGTTACAAAATAAAAGTTATGGGGGAAAATGTCAAACGTATATGGACAATGTCTAGTTGTCAAACATTAATGGAACATAATAATAATAATTGTTGTTGTTATTATTATATAGTAATAATAATAATTTTCATTGTTATATTATTATTCCACCTCTATATTATTATGGTACAAATAATAAATTGCATGCCACGTTGTATATAATTATGAATTATATTGCATAAATATTTAAAGCAGCACTATGCAGGATTTCCATTTTTGTCAAACTGTGACCCCAAGAGTCGCTGTGGAGTACTTGTACTGTCGTAAAAATCATATAAATAGTCATAAAGGTTATATGACTATTTATATGACTATAAATAGTTATATAACCATTGCAATAACTCTGAAACTATTCAGTTAAGGTAAAAAAAAAAAAAACTGCATAGTGCTGCTTTAAAATGGACATGATAAAGTGACTTGGACGTGACTTGTTTGCTGATTGCCTTGATATGATTGGTTAACTAATACAATGACTCATACCTGTGTCTTTAGTGTCCAAAACCTTTTTGGGGCCACTGTATGTCCGTGCTGCTACTGTGGGACCGACATAAAAGCAACCCTGAACTCCATAATTCACAACCCCTTAACCCTTCACCTTTTGACTGGTTTCTAAGAGGTAAAGACCACCAGATGGCGGTGTTTTGTGGGCGCGTTGGTCTCAGCGAGCCAAGGTAGTAATGAGACTGGCACACATTTCAAAGAAGTCCATGGTGTGGCTGCCCTGACGCGGGGCCAGCAGGGGTGTGCTCCCGGTCAGAGACCCCGGCAGAGAGCTGCTGAGCTGGGGCATCTCAACGGCCACACTCGCAGAGTCGATGCTGAGCCGTGGTCGATAGAGGCCGGCTGTAGAGCCAGAGCGCTGAGGAGTCGACGACCCTGACTTGTGCTCGATCACATCATCTGAGTGAGTGAAAGAATTTTTACATTTTATAACACAGATATAATGAAGAGTAACAAGCCAGGTTAAAACTGGCTAAATGCATCCAGATCAGAGGCATAACTAGGGTTTTTGCAGAGATGTATAAAGTACTAGAAACCCGGACTTGAGTAAAAGTACAAGTGCTCTATCAAAAAAGTGACTTGAGTAGAAGTTGAAGTGCTCTTTAAGCACCACACTTAAGTAGAAGTACTAAAGTATTCAACATTTTTTCTACTTAAGTATTGCAAGTAGTTTATTTAAAAATTCCCTACTTAAGTACTAAAAGTAAAAGTATAAGTATTGTGTCATGTAATTATTAAAGAAAGCAGTCAAAAGTTTGAACTAGCAATCAAATAAGGCGCTTTGGCGGGATACAAATTTGCTTTGGCGGCCACCAAAAAAATGTCATTGCAGGACAACCCCTGCATTAGTTGACAATGTGTGTGTCAATCAATACCATTACCCTATAAAACTGGCGTGTGATTTAGGCAGCATGAAAGCCAACTTTCAACGAATGATTCGTAAAATTTTTATAATTGTAACGAGTAACTAGCAGAACATTAAAAAAATATCGAAGTAAGAGTATTAAATTCATCGAAAATATCTACTGAAGTAAAAGTAGAAGTATGAGAAAAAAAACAATACTCTAGTAGAGTACAGATACAGCATTTTAGTACTTAAATACAGTACTTAAGTAGTTCTACTTCGTTACTATACATCTCTGGATTTTTGTACATTGGGGGCTTCACATCTACACTTGTATGTATTTTTTAAAGAAATTAATACTTTTATTCAGCAAGGATGCATTAAATTGTTAAAACGTGACATAAATATGTTTATAATGTTACCAAAAATACATATTTGAAATAAATGCTGTTTTTGACCACTGTTTCAGGAAAATATTGAGCAGCGCAACATTGATAATAATTAGAAATGTTTCTTGATCATCAAATCATCATATTAGAATGATTTCTGAAGAATAATGTGACACTGAAGACTGGACTAATGATGCTGAAAATTTAGCTTTGCAGGAATAAATTAAATAAATATATTAAAATTAAATCAAAATTATTTTATTAAGTTATTTTAATTGGTAATGATATTTCACAATACTACAGTATTTACTGTATTTTTGATTAAATAAGTCACAAAAAAATTAAATTAGTTTTGGAAATGTTATAATTTTTCATGCAGTTAAAGTAGGTACATGAAAATAGCTGCCTTTTAATTCCATAAAGTACTTGTCATTAAAAAAGACGGGTTGATTGATGCTCACCATCGATGCTCTTGAAGTCGAGCAGGTAGCTACGGTTGTCCACCTGGTAGAGCTGCAGACACATCTTCACAAAATTCCCAGTGACAGGATTCTTCCGGCGCACTCTCAGGTGATACGGGTTCACCACCTACAGTAAATCCCACGACATCCGACACACTGACACATCTATTCTCACTATCAAATCAAACATGCATACTTGTGCTTGTTTCAAGCCACTCACTTTCCACTCGTACTCCAGCTGTTTCATGGCACGGTAAACCTCAGCCATGATGTCGTACGGTTTGCTCTGGCTCCGAATGCCCAGGTGCCATTTTGCCTTCTTTACCGCCAGCGGTTTGGGTCGGGTAGTGTTGAGGGCGTCCAGAGGGCACCGTGCCTTAGGGCTGTCGGCCAGGAGCGGGGGCATCCGTTCGGGGTGAGGTTTGACCCCTGGTGGCAGGGGCATGCCCTCCTCCATGAATGAGCCAGTCGGGGGACTGGAGGCCAGGTAGAACTCGCTGGCCTGGTTCATGATTCTCCGGTTGTCGATGATGAGGTGGTACGCCACGGCCAGCTGGTCTTGAGGGTCTCCGCTGTAGAGGCTGCTCAGTACTTCGGCTTCAGTGCATTCAAACTTGTCGCACACCTCCCGCACGGCCTCCTCGTCCACCTCTGAGGAGTCGTACGAGGGGTCCTCGGGGAAGAGGTAGCCAGGAAGGTCCTGTTTAAACCACTCATCCTCTCTGTCATACAGGAGAGAAGAAAATAGAAGTACTGTATGTTGTATTTAAATTAGTGCTGTCAAACGATTAAAATATTTAATCGCGATTAATCGCAATAATGACATAGTTAACTCGCGATTAATCGCACATTTTTATCTATTCTAAATGTCTTTTGATTTATTTTTGTTACATTATTTTTTCTCTCATTTTAATGCTCTTATCAACATGGAAAAGTGGATTGGCTTGTTTAGTGGAAATGTTTTTTTTATTATTAGTATTGAAAATAACTTTGGAATAGTGCTCAATTTCACACTAACATATATAAATGGTCTCTCACACAATGTAAGGCTGTCTATCAATAAAAGGGTGAAAGAAATACTGACGAGGTCCTGATATTGATGAGGGGGTGGAGAATTCGCATCATCTGTGTGTGTGTGTGTGTGTGTGTTTGCTTGGCCATCATCAAGCGGTGTTTCAGACTGGACGTGCTGCGATGATGATAGCTCAGCTCACAATGACAACACACAGATCACTTGGTCTTGTCAATTGGACAATATGGCAACTTTTTAAAAGTAAACTTTCCATTCAGAATCTTAGGGCATCCATTTCGGCGTCTCGCGTTCGTCATCCACTCAAAACGTAACGTTACTATTTGGCCGGCTCGCAAGCTGAAACGAGTGTATGCGGCACAAAACGTCCTCGCGCTGCGCTCTGAAACCCATTCATTTCAATGGCTTGCGTCGTGCGAGGACGTTTTGTTGCTTCTTCGACCAAAGCGCAAGCGGATCTAGACCGTAAACAAAACAACAGGCACACCGCAAACACACGTTTCGGCTTATGAGCCGGCTTTGAGTGGATGACAAGCGCGAGACGCCGAAATGGATCAGGACGCATGCCGCGTCCTGTTGCAAAAGCATGTGAAAAAACTACAAAGTTTGCTAGGACAAAAAGGCCGTTAATCGCGCGATAAAAAAATTAACGCCGTTAAAATGGGTTTGCGTTAACGGCGTTAATAACGCGTTAAACTGACAGCCCTAATTTAAATATTTGTTAAAATCATACTGTGGTTAAACTGACAGAGTTCATGGGGCCTTATCATACAGCAGGTGCCACGCAAGTGTTTTTTGCTAGTTTCAGCCCGACGCAGTTATCATTTTCACGTCCTGCAGCATGTTGTTTAAATAGCAAATGCGTTTACACCCATCTGTGCGTCCATGGGCTGCTAGTCTGAAAACGAGGTGAAATAGACTGCGCCATTGGCATTAGACCAGGTTTCAGTTGGTCAATGGCGCAGTCTATTTCACCTCGTTTTCAGACTAGCAGCCCATGGACGCACAGATGGGTGCAGTATTTATTTTGTTATTTAAAGAGCGCATTAGAGTAGTAATGTGCGCCTATAGACGGGTCCACAAAGTGTACACTCTGCTTATTACACACACTGGTCCCCTAACTGGCTCCTTCATGGAGGAGGGCATGGAGCAGCACACAAACATGCCAAATATTAAAAATAAACGTATTTTAATGTAAAAGATTAATATTGTGTACATATAGATATGGTGGAATCCGGCTTGTTAGGCTTTAACCTCAGGCACGAGCAGATCCGTTTCCTCTCTGGAGAAGCGCTCGGTCTTTCCACTATCAAATTCCGGTGTGTAAATGCGCAAGCGCAACTGGCTTTTAAAGGGAATGGGAGACGAGACTCTGGTTGGTTTATTTCACGCTACGCCCAAAACACACCCATTACTCATTAAGAGAATAGTGCCAAAGTGCACTTGCGCCGTGTGCTTTAGAATATGCGCTTAGATCGTTAAAATAGAGCCCATGAAGTGTGAAGACTAATAGAAACCTGATGTCTTTGATAGTAGCTCTCTTAAGTGGGTCCACCTGTAGCATGAGCATTAGTAAACTGGCTACTGAGCGGTTGAGGTATTCTGGCATGTAGAAGACCCCTCCACGGATCTTTTTGAAGAGGGTGGGCACGTGCTCGTCATCGAATGGCAGAGTCCCACAGAGCAGTGCATAGAGAATGACGCCACAGCTCCAGATGTCCACCTCTGGACCAGCATACAGCCTGAAACACAACATACGTGTCATTGTGTGGGCTACTATATTGTGTCTACGTGTCTATCAGGTCATTTTTACACCTAGTATTAAGATGTGTTTTGGTTGATCGGATCACAAATAGACGAATGGGACACATTCCTGTGTACACCTGGTGTTTTAATCCATCTCTTTTGTCCACTTTTAACCACTTCTGTCCTGATTTCTTCAAGGGGAGGGGACGGCTATGGGTTTTTTAGATCTTTCGATCTAATGGACAAAATAAGCTCATGCAATTTACATATGAACGCACCCTGAGTTCATACAGCGCAGCAGCTTTTGTTTCTGCTCTGATAGCCAAAAGATTACAGCGAATGCTGTGAGTGTGTGTTATGCCTGGTTCAGATTACACGAGTTTAGCCCGGTTTTGGCACGATCCGTTTGACGTAGTGTGTCGTGGGGATTCGTAAACGACAACGGGCGTCGGGACGCAAGATTAGATCGTATCATCTCGTATAGTGTTCATAGTGGGCGACAACCTACATCACGTCTGCGATGCTTCATGACATCACGACAAAAAGACTAGAATGTTTAATTTCTTTAACGGTCGTCCACGACGGGTCCGTCACATGTATGAGGTTGACCAATAGGAGCACAGAAGCTTTTCTGTACATAAAATTCAAAAATGGTGAAACAAAAGAGAGACGATGGTGCTAACGTTAAAACTAAAAGTAAAAATATATAAGAAAACAATATTTTACCTCAAGTTCTCTTTGGAGGATTGACAGCCCATACTGTCCTCTTCGAGCAATCTGGGAACGTGTCCATTGGCGGGTTTTCTTTCTTGTATTACTTTTTTTTCTGAACAGGACAGGACAGCCAATACAACACTCAACACTTCATCCATTCTTTGTTTTATGTTCGTTTCCGGAAGTCACTCGCTACTAGTTTCGCCTTTTCGATGACATCACACATGCCGTTTAAGATGGCATGCGATGACTGGTCAGGAAGCAACGTGTAGTCTGACGTGTCTTGTCCACGACTTGATAAGATTTTAGGAGTCAAAATCGCGTAATCTGACACAGCGACTATCGTAACAGGCAAAAAAAAATTGTGTAATCTGAACCAGGCATTAGAAATCAGGAATGGTGAAAGAACATGGCATCTTTTTTCATCTTCAATCAAAGTTTAAATCCGGCTACCGCACTTTGCATGTTTACGCTGTTGTGGTAAAAATTCTGTTAAACATCATCACTGCATAAGAGACAACTCGGGAATCAAATCAAAGTATTTCTAATTGCAAGAATAGGCCCAGTCGCCAACACAGCAGTTACCCTGTGGAGTGAGTGAGACACTGAGACACAGAAATGGGCATCTTTATACTGCTCTTCCCAGTAGTTTCCCAGTAGTTTACCACAGACAAAAGACCCATTACTGCTAGCTTCGATTATTTATCGCTAGCTGACCCTTTAAGGTAGCCTGGATGCCAGCCCGAACTCCGCCCACAACATTTTTTGGTCGGTAAGTTCGGTCTGGACTCGATCCATTGAGGAGTAATTATGATCAGTCAAAAAATGATCGGGCCAATCAAATTGCCAGGGCGGGCTTTAAACGATGATGGACAGATGATCTGCAGGGACGTAATCATCACGTTATCAAAGAGCGCTTGTCAAAGATGACTGCAGCTGGAGAATTGAGATCTATAGATTCCGCTGTCGCGTCTTTTGTAAAATAAATCGACAGCGCATTCATTTTAACAGACAAACAGAGAACTGCAATCAAGGCATTTGTCGATCGGAAAGATATTTTTGGCGTCCTTCCTACATGATTCTGGAAAAGTGTAACTTATCAGCTGGCTCTGACGGTCGTTAAGAAGATGGGACGTAATGAAAAGCCTGTGGTCGTTGTGGTTTCTCCTTTGGTCGCACTCATAGAGAAGTAAGTAAAAGAAGCAACACTCGTTATTTAACTTCTAAAATAAAAAAAAGTTAGGCTACGTTCTGTATTTGAAAACTGCGCCATGCAAAGGAGTTGACTTACTGTGTTGCTCTGATTGGTTGTAGGTCTACCGACTATCCAATTGAGTGCAGAGGGTTTTTTTTTTCCTGGTTCGGTTACGACACGCCTCATAATCAAATCCCACTGGAGTAGTTTGGTACTCCAGTCCAAACTACTCCAAAGTGAGGTACTCCTCACCTCAGAGATTGGAGGTCCTTGCCCACCTGTTTTCTCGCTCCTGGACTTCAGGTGCATAAACATACATACATTTCAGAGAAGTTCCTCCTTCTCACATCAGACTGCAAATGATAAAACCATATGACATTCCTTTGCAATGTCCACTGAAAATCAAAGAAAATCAAAAATTTCCACAACCACGCGTTTGTTCAGTAGGCGGAGAGTAGGCGGACTCTTGTGGTTGTTCGAACACATTCGACCACATGAGCATCTACACTACGAAAGCAATCCAATCGAATGCGTTTTCGACTACCTCTAGAAGTGGTTGAAAGTGGACAAGCTCAAAACGTTTTAGACCCGTTTACACCTGTATTTAGCGTCGTCCACTTCTGATCCGATCGACCAAAGCACATCTTACTACTAGGTGTAAGCAGGGCCTCAGAATGAATGAGAAATATTTCAGAAACAAGCAGAACAAGACGACAATCGGCATTACATAAAAAATGGATGCAGTGTATCGGTGCAGTCCATACCGCGAAACAAACAGCTAGCCATAGTTTGTTGGACAGCTGGTCTTGCAAGCCAGACCTTTGACTATCGATACATATAATACAGTGTAGCGCATATTGTTCAAGAACTGTACATTCCTTACGTAATCTGGTTGTCAACTGACTACATGACACCTCTCACCTTCCTGAAATGACCTCTGGTGCAGCGTAGTTTGGTGATCCACAGCTTGTTCTCAGGAACTCTCCGTCTGACATCATGTTTGACAGACCTGAGCCACACAAATAACTGTACTTAACAGACGATTTGATTGGTCAAGTGAAACAAAATGTATTTCAGGGCAGATCTAAATACAGTGGGATCCAACTGTATTAATGATTAGAAAATTAGAAAATAAAGCATTTTCACTAGTGCACATTTGGACCCCACTGTATATGTGGTGTAGCCGCAGGGAGGATTTATGTGTATTTCTCTTTGCCTCTTCCCTGTCTCCGCTCTTCTGTGGATAATCAAACAGCATGCCTGGTATAAACCACACGACTGGACATGCAGCAAAGCTGGTTGCTTGGCAACTATCCCTCACTGTCTGCACAACATTAGCTTTCTGTGTGTGTGTGTGTGTGTGTGTGTACCAAAGTCAGCGATCTTGGCATTCATGTTGCCATCCAGCAGTACATTTTCTGGCTTGAGGTCTCTGTGCACCACCATGTGTCTGTGGCAGTAATCTACAGCTGAGATGATCTGCTGGAAAAGACGTCTCGCCTCGGTGTCCTCCACCTGCACGTGATAGACGTAAAGAGAGGTTACTACATAGAACATTATTTATAATAAAAACAAGTATTTGTACTCTTTGGGTTAAAGCTGTCTGCATTTTATTTTAATCACAGTTTTGGTAACACTTTACTTGAAGGGGTGTGCATAAGACTAACATGACACCTTCATAACCATGACATGAAATATGTTATGAATATGAAGGAAGGTTTATGCATGTTTATGACAGCTGTCATTAAGTGTCATTTGCTCAGTTATGACATTTTGAATGCAAATATGACATTGTTTAAGATGTCTTTGTTATGACACCTTGACATAAACCAATACATCATAACCTGTCAGTGTCTTTGTCATGACAACAAAGACAACACAACCTGTCATAAATATGACATAGCAGATTAATTATCAAACTTAGGAAACCACCTAGCTTTATTGGTTAACATTACATTAAACTATCAGGTGGTTGGTTTTGACATTGGCTGTCATTAAGCCATTATAGCAATGGCCTCATGACAGCCAATGTCAAAGCCAACCAAATGACAGTTTAACTTAATTTTATGTCAAGATCTCATAACAAAGACATCTTAAAAAAGTCATTTGCATTTAAAATGTAATTATTGAGGGAAAGATCCTTAATGACAGCTGTCATAAACATGCATAAACCTTACTTCATAATCAAGATATATGTCATGTCATGGTCTTATGCACATGCCCTTCAAGTAAAGTGTTATATTCAAGTCTAAATCAGTACTACTATCCAGATCAAATACTTGTTTTCTTGCTAGGAACATTTTTTTATTTGTGTAAAGTCAAGAATAACTTTTGTATTGTTAATAATATTTCAAAATGAATATTATGAATTTAAGCAATTTCCTCAATCATTATTTCATTTCTATGATACAGTATTTAGATATATTAATTTTAATCATTTAATGCATTTATTTGTATTATGCCCCCAATATAATTAATTTAAATTATTTAAGAAATTAAATTAATTAAAAATGGAAATATTTTACTAAAATATATTTAGAGTGGGAATTTATATTTGTTAAATACACTGGATGGACAGACAGACAGATAGATAAATATAGATAGATAAATCCTATCAATAGGAAATATGATTTAAAACTGAATTAATCTTATATCCAACAACATTGTCAAAAGGTAATTCAAAAACTTGTTCGAGTGTTGATGAATTAAAGCACTAAAAATAAAACGGATCCAATTTCACCAGAGTCAGCTGTGTGTTCAAACTAAACATGTCCTGCAACATGAACCGTCAGGCAATGCCATTGTAGGCAACCCAGAAAACACAAAGACTGAACCCTGTATATATGCATGAACTCATTGACCCTTCCCACGAACACTTCACTAGATCAGGTGCTGTTTGGATAAGCTAGATCCCCATAACCCCAACAGGTCTGGGAGACTCAAAGGTTAATCCGAGCTCAAATCCAGACCAGAGCCACAAAAGCAAGTTAAGAGTCCTGAGGCTCATAAAGTAGTTTCCAGCTATTAGGTAGGTGACTAATACAAAACATAATTGTGTTGTCCATAATTGTGTGTTATGTTGTGCAGGACTTAATTATAATGTTCAGTCACTTTACAAATTAGGTATGGCATGCAACTTTGGAGAACCATTGAAAGAGCCAACAGCCTTTCCCATGATTCTAAGATCCTGTTAGCCAGCAGCTGACTTTAAGAGCTCTTCAGTTGATTCTTACCCTTCCATGCTTACAGATATAGTCAAAGAGTTCCCCTCCAGACACATATTCCATCACCATGAAGAAGTCGGTGGGAGTGCTGATCACCTGATACCTGCAACAGACCAGAGAAAAGAACCACAGGAACTCAACGAGAGGCTTTAATGTAAGTGCTTTCAAAATACAGCAAAACAGAGCTCAACAATAAGGATGGCCGAAGGCCCAGGGGATACTGTCTTTATCATGTGCATACGTTGTTATACCCCGCAAAGAGAAACATTTGGATTTCTCTCATATGTGAAACAATATTATTGCAACTACAGCTGATTTGTAATTGCAAGTCAACTATAATTGCATCAACTAAAATAAGATATTTGCCAAAAACTCCTTGCCATTTTTTTTCCCAGCAAAAGTGAGTTTATACATTTTATAGTTGTCATGAAGTTACATTATAGTTATATAATTTCCAACTATAATTGAAAACCATATCAATTATTTGTTAATGTAAAATGTAATTTAATTTAATATTTCATTTTAATTTTGATTTCTTGCTGTCAAAACAAATATGTTCCTTTACATATATTTGACATTTTAAGTTAGAATTTATATAAATTGTTTTTTTGTATTGAGTTGTATTTCTTTCTGACACATAACAAATATGTTGCGCTATATATATATATATATATATATATATATACAACCAGCAGTAGAGAAGGACAAGGCCTGTATTCCTCAGAGGGGCTTAATATAGAATACTGAAAAAGTCTGGGACACCTAATGTGATTTTCAAATAAACATAATGTATCTTTACAGAATCCAATCACTGAAAAAAAAAAAATTATAAAAGGAGAGAACAAAGCATGTTCTCAAAACAGAGAAAATACCCAGAGAAGCACACACACACAAAAAAAAAAAAAAAAAAAAAACACAGCAGGGGCTTAACATGGTACATGTGCCGAGAATACAATAACACAGCTATTACATTATGATGAGAAAAGGAGAATAAGTGAGAGTGGAAAAGAAGAAAGTGTGAGATTGGGACGTGAGAGGATAATAAGATTATGCTGTGTTTTGTCTCCTTAATTTCTGATCAGAACAACCCTGAAATGTGCCATTGAACTGTGAGTGGCAGAACAAGAAACGCACCGCATAAAATGCAGATACGCCGGTACATTTCCTCCCAATTAAAATAATGTATCTGTCAACTTATTCTAATTACCTGAACCCTAACACATAACCTTAACCCAATACTAACAGTTTACTAATAATCTAAGACTGATAGCTGACATGTAGTTGTAAAGTTGCTTATAGTTGGTAATGTCTAAAGTAGAGCATTGAAATTAAGTGTAACCATGTAATCTATTAAATGCAATCTAGAAATCAAGAAAAGTGTCTGTACAATGTGTTATTTGAATAGAGTTTGTTTTGAAAAACCTGATCTGAGATCAGTATAAAAACCATATGTATATAAACTGGTTTACTGAGCTTAAGATCCCTAAGTGATAAACCATTAAAATTGACAAGATCTGACGTAACAAAACCTTGTTTACTGAAATCAAGTGACTTTGGCAGGTTGATACAACTACTGGTTTAAAGTTTCAAAGCTTTAAAATGCAGTTTTTGCAAGTGCACATCACTACTTTTGTGCTGAGATGCAATTATAATGTTAGGAACATTATTGGATGTATATATATAACATATATTTAACTTTGTATAGCCATTTTCCACCCTAGCTGTCTTTAAGAGGCATATTTCATTACCAGTGGGCTTTATATATATATATATATATATATATATATATATACATATATATATATATATATATATATATATCTGTGTGTTTAATAAAAAAAATTAATATATAGCACTAGAAACCTAAGGATTTCAGAACCTTTTGAATCTATTTTTGCAGCTTAGTTTTAATAAATGTTTGTCTTGAATTGGGGAGCTTATAGGCTTTTCGGGAGAGCATAATTGCTATCCCAGCTTCCAGCGCACACCAAACTAGACCAGCATGGAAATGTAAGCAGATCGAAGGTGTTTTTTTTTCAGTTCGACTCATTAAAATCAATTATCCGTACATGTCTAACCACATAGGAAAAACATCTGTTCCGTCACCTTTAATCAAATAATTTGTATTTGAAGTGTTTGCCCACAAAAAATATTCCACATCCTTGTCATTAGTAATGTTAAATCTCACAAAAACTGACATAAAGTCAGCATGTATAATGATCCTTGTAATACTCCTAAAGTTTTAAGTGCTCCATATTAAAGTCTCCTGAAATTGCAGTTCAAAGACATAAAGCTTCTTAAAATCTTTAAGAAGCTTAAGCCATCAGTTAACCCAGAGTAAAAATGATTTTTCTTCCAATCAAGGTTGATAATCTGCCAGTGCACTGCACAGGCATATACTCAATGGAATTTGTTGATGTTGATTGCGTTTTTTTGTTTTTGTTTTATGTGTGATTCACTCACAGCTTGATGATGTGTGGATGTCTGAAGAGCTTAAGGTTCTGAATCTCTCGTTTGATTTTCCCCACAACATCGAGACTGCGGATCTTCTGTCTGTTGAGGATCTTCACAGCAACTTTGTGTCCTGTTAGCTGGTGCTCTCCAACTGTTGGCCAAACACACACACACACATCAATGAAGACTCAGCTGAAATAGCATCACCAGCAGTTAGGTTATTGTAAACACCACTGATTGAAAGATAAGTTTTATTCCAACGAAAGCAAGCAACAGCGCTGCAGGCCGGCGACCTCCAACACAAACCTTCTAAGAAAACAAAGAAAGAGAGGAGACTTTCATTTCAGGTCTGAGGCCTCAATATAAACAAACAAAACCTGATCTACTCTGAGTTTAGACTTTCATATACTGGCCTTAAGACAATTGCTTATCTAGAATTAGACACTGCTCATTTTTGAGCAAAGTTTACGAAAACGAATACCCACATTGTGTTTGGTTTGATATATTATCAGTCTTGCACATTATTGTAATAACAAGTAAGATTACATATTGCTCGCCCCCAACCTGAACGCACACACATTGAAGTACAGTATACGGTAACACTTTACTTGAAGGGGTGTGCATAAGGCTGACATGACACCTTCATAACCATGACATGACATATGTCTTGAATATGAAGTAAGGTTTATGCATATTTATGACAACTGTCATTAATTGTCTTTCACTCAATAATGGCATTTTGAATGCAAATATGACATTGTTTGTTATGACATCTTGACATAAACCATGTCATGTTTATCACAGGTTGTGTTTTCTTCAAGTTGTCATGACAAAGACCCTGACTGTTATGATGTATTGGTTTATGTCAACGTGTCATAACAAAGACATCTCAAACAATGTCATATTTGCATTAAAAATGTCAGCAAAGAGTTGTCGCAAACATGCATAAAACTTCCTTCATATTCATAACATATGTCATGTCATGATTATGAAGGTGTCATGTTAGTCTTATGCACACCCCTTCAAGTAAAGTGTTACCATTTCGGTTAAAACCTTAAAATAATTTGATTGGTGTAACCTAATCTATTCAGGTTTATTCAGCATTTTTGACTTTATATTTTTAGGTTAGTATTTAGTGTGCATATTGACACTACATTCACTGCCTGAGTTACATAAAGGAATAATGAAAAATTGCTGCAAAAGCAAAGCCTCTATTAATGTCTATTAACAGTTGGAGGGTCACTTGACAACAAAATGTGCTTCCGCTGTGGATATTTACGTCCAATGACATCTTGAGCGTACAGGACGGAGGACGTTTAAAGGGCTTTATTCATATCAGCAGCACCCTCAAGCAGCTACAGTCTTTGCAGACAAGGAATAAACCATTTCAGTGTTTTCGGTATTATGGTGGATTATGTGTTAGCTTGCATGTGTTTCCCTGAAAAGTTGCATGAGTGTGCAGTCATGGGATCTCATGTGGAGCTTTATAAGGCTGTTAGATTTTCTGCCTTGATAAAGATCTTTAGACTCTCCTCAAGGTCATTTGCTTGACTGGTCATTAGTTTTTTGTGAAGGCCTCAAACCTCAAAAAGCGACCTGCCTACCTAGACAGCAAAAACCCTTGGTAGATGTTGTAATTTCATCATCTGACTGCAAGGAGCATCTTTCTCCATAGAGTGCATTATCCCATTTTTAAGGCCCTGTTTACACGAGAACGCTCGCGGGTGAAAACGTAAAAGTATTTTATCGGATGTGCCTTTCGTTTACACAGCGACGACGTTTTGGGGGCTTAAAAACGCAAAAAAGTGAAACCACCTTCCAGAGTGGAAATCTTAAAAACGCTCCACCGCCCCATTCCCGTGTAAAGGGTAAAAACGGAAAAGTCTGCTTGACAGTGAAGGTTGTCCTCAGGCACGCGGATTTGGTGTTGTTGTAGTATGCACTCCTAGCCACCTGAAGTGCATACTACATTGAATTTCACACACTTTTGCGTCATCATATGCACGCGGATATCCCACCCAAAATGCTCGTATGAACGCAGAATACAAAGTGAAAACGCAACGCCACTTTTGCGTTTTCTCTCAGAATTGTTTCCGTGTAAACATAGCCTAAGCCTCAAAAACGCCGTCGCCGTGTAAACAAAAAGCCACATCCGATAAAATATTTTTACGTTTTCACCCACGAGCGTTCTCGTGTAAACAGGGCCTTAGGAGCCTATCCTAATTAAACGCACTTGAATCACCTAATCAAGGTTTTCGAGATTGCTAAAGGCAATCCAGGCAAATAGGCTGGTTGTTTGGAGCTGAACTTTGCCAGACATCATCAGCCCTCCAGGAGCAGGACTGGACACCGCTGAGCTAGAGGTAAAATTTTGTCGTCATTTAATCACCCTCAACACAAAGGAAGATATTTCGAAGAATGCCGGTAACCAAACAGTTGATGGACCCCACTATGGAAGTCAAGGAATGTTTCTTCAAAATGTCTTCTTTTGTGTACAGCAGAAGAAGGAAATTCATACAGGTTTGAAACAATTTGAAGTAAATGATGACAGAATTTTCATTTTTAAGTGAACTAGTGCTATTCTTTTAGTAGAGCTACAGGATTCTGGATAAATTGAGAATAACGATTTTTCGTAGAGCGGGACTTGATTTCGTCCATTGTGAATGGATTCGACCATTTTGCAAGATGTAAACAACACTGGTCCAGAAACACTTCCTGTTTCAGTTTGTAACTGTTTTCTTTATTTCACATGTAAAGAAAACATCTTAAAGATGTTTGTTTAACTTTTTGATTCAGTTTTATATGTTCTGTTGGTTGAATTTTATCCCAGCTTTATGTAGTGTTAAAAAACTGAAACAGGAAGTGCTTCTGGACCAGTGTTGTTTACATCTTGCAAAATGTCATGTGAGTGACATGTTGTCCTGCCCTCGCACAAGTGAACATCATCATAGATGTCAGAGATGTCACTAGAGGGAGGGGGATTGTTATTTTGATGAAAGATTAAGGCCTTGTCCACATGGACATGGGTATTTTTGTAACCGTGACTTTTTACGCGGTTCGGCCGTTCGTCCACATGGAAACGCAGTATCATGTCACTGAAACCGAACATTTTTGAAAACTCCTGCCAGGATGAGGATTTTCAGAAACACTGGTTACAGTTGTCGTGTAGACAGTAAAACCCAGAGTTTTTGCCTTGCGACGTCAGATTGTGCGCCATTATCCGCCTACCGGAACATGTTATGACTTTTGTTAGGCTTTTGATTGACCTAAGTTGCTTTACAGTTAGGGTTATATCGCCACCTACTGCTGTGGCATGCTCTTGACAGTGCTTGATAGCGTGTTTTTTTGCGTTTTAATGTGGATGGGATTTTTTTTAAACGCAGGAGGAGAAACTCCAGTTGTAAAAACACCTGTGCCCGTGTGGACAAGACCTAAGAGGGCACAGGAATTTTTAAAGAAATCTTCTTTTTTTCGTTGTTGCTTCAAAATCAAAGTTTGTAATGTTGTGATTCACCCTGTAGCTGGTTGGTTTAGTTTCCCTTTGGGAAAATGAATGGGGAAAATAGTTCCCCTGGAAAAGTGGGCGGTAGCCTACTATTGAACCCTATGGTAAGGACAGGCTAAATCTTCTATCTTATCAAATACGCAGCTAAGAAATGGTCATAAGATAAATGGAAATGCTTGTGTGTAGCCAAAAATGCTGTCTAGAAACATTTTTTGTTTGTTTGTTTTTTATGAAATGATGCACTGCCAAATAAGTTCGTTTATTAAGGATTTGTGTGCACCGACAGACATTAATAATTGAGAGCATTTCTTTTAATGCAACATAGACCGTGTAATATAATAAGATTTGACTTTAATAAATGTGGAGCAAAGCTCAAACACAGGGCTATTACACCCGTGCGAAAGGTCATTCCCAAAATGAGCGGCATTCCCACTCGCGCTTAGAATAGAAAATTACTGCAAGGTCAAAGCAACTCTGCAGGTGAAATATACTAACTACGACATTTGCTCCCGTGCTACTTTTACAGTGATCATCAGAATACAATTTTGAGACAAACGTTTTAAAGATTCAATAATTTGGGAGCTGGAAATGTATGCAAATAACATGTTTAACAGCGCAGCTCAATGCCTGACAGTCGCGATTCAGGGAGGATGACAGAGCATTAAAATATTTAAAATGCCAAATATTAAGAAGGCGTAAGTATGTGAACCCTAAACATTTCTGAAATGCCAGATAGTTGCCCAAATTGTGTGATACTAAACATTTACGCAAACACGACTGCAAGTGCACCGTCTTCTGTGGTGCTGAAAGAATTTCCATCTCTGCGCCGTATTCACCAACAACATACGCACTCTCTGAGCCAGGAGGACGTTAGCGGAGGATCTTACTACGCATTTCATGCTACGTAAATTGCGCACATCGTCCGCCGGCAAGTTCAGCACTAACAACCCCGAAAACATATGTGCGTACTCGCATTCCATGCAACGTCCGAGCACGTATAGTAAATGAATATACTTAACTCTTTACTTTTCCAAATGTTCCGACTCCCAGCGTGTCTCCGAGGATGTAGTGTCCTATCTTTACCCTGCCTTCGTGTTTCTGTTTTTCAGCCATTTTACTATGTGAGGTCCTCGGGCTGCCTTACAGTAGGCGGGATTGAACATATTAGGTAGACTGAGCCAGACTGAGCTTCACTGAACCCCTCTAAGAGCTGATCTGAATTCAGCTTCAGGAGAAACTGTAAACTCTAACGTACAGACAGCTCTCGGGTCAGCTGATAAGGCGGTGAAGGGGGCGGTCGAGACTGTGTTTAGGTAAAGTATTCCCCTTACTGACTATTGAGCATGATACACCTCACAAAACTCTAACATAACTAGAATCCATTTCGTTTGAATTTGCATATTGATATTTTACTCACTATATAGAATCACCAAATACAATTCTTCATAAAAAAATACATTTGGGGATAAAAGGAATGTAAAAATAGCCTACACATATTTTAAGGAAATGTGGGAATTCAAGGGTCAAGTTCATCATTATCTATCTATCCATCTATCTATCTATCTATCTATCTATCTATCTATCTATCTATCTATCTATCTATCTATCTATCTATCTATCTATCTATCTATCTATCTATCTATCTATCTATCTATCTATCTATCTATCTATCTATCTATCTATCTATCTATCTATAAATAAATAAATAAATAAATAAACCCGAATTCTGTCAGGACTTAGCCTAGCCTAGCCTATATATTTATAAATTACCTTATTTTATACAGCAACGTTTCTCAGCTGTGTATTTAGGCTATTTATTATCAACAAATGATTATGAAAACATTTCTAAAATCAAGCAAAATCCTAGTCAGTCTTGATTCTGAACTTTTAAAATACAGTTTTTTTTATTCGCTTTGGTACTATTTTCACAAGTAAGGTGTATATTTTCAAAACTCTTAGTACAAAAACCCAAACTGATCACACTTGTAACGCAGCTAGTCATTCTTTCAAAACCTGATGTAATGATTTCAGTCAGTTGCACATGTTTCAGTCCACATAATCATTATTTCAAACACAAGATTATTGTAATATGTAATGAGAACATTTGGTTTCACTGAAACACAACAATATGATCTTCTTTCAGTTTAGTACTTTTAACAATCAGTTCATCCAACAGCAAACAATGCAAGATACATGTTTCAAATCGGCCTTAGAAGTGCTGAAATGAATATGCTACAGTACTATAAAAGACAGATTACACAGTTTTACTGTAACATTAGGCAATACACTACAGTACCCAACATTTACATAATCTATAATTTCTAAATATCCATCATATATGTAATCAAGTGAAGGATCAATGAAGACATCCTCTACAATCATTTAGGCAAATTACTGTATAGTTTTTATTTTTCAGATATAATTGTAACATATGTGTACTTTCTGTAATCAAATGTAACTAAATGAGAACAAAACATAACATTTAGTGCACACATTACAGTAAATTACTGTAATTTGGATCAAGCCTGTCCTGAGCATTTGGCCATAGATTCTTATACGTAATATTACAGTATATAGTGGCCAATTGTGGTTACCACTATGTGAAATCAATTAGCTATTACGAGTATTCATCAGGTGTGGTTACATGTTATTTAAATATTCATGCAAACACACATTTTATTTCTGTAGTTCTTAAAATCCATATACTGTATATTGCTGAAATGAAAATCTATAGGTTTACCAAATGATTAATTGATTAACCATTAAGATCTTTAAGCACTGACCATTAAGATGATTTAAGCACTGAGAGTTTTGAAAATGTACACCTTACTTGTGAAAACAGTACCAAATCAAATAAAAAAAAAAAACTGTAATAATAATATACAGTAAACACAATAACAATCATAATACTTTTAATAGCGTTTTAATAATTAATAGTAAGTACTGCACTCAAATTTAGTAAATATGTCTCTTTGTGTAGGCCTATCTAATGTGATTTATTTACGTATTAGTCAATGTGCACATCATGTAGTTCATGCAGTCAAAATCACCATGCAGAATTAAATTGATTTAACGGAGTAAATTTCCTAATTTAGGAAAAAGTTTCCTAATTTGCCTCCGTGATTTTTATGGATGGCTCTCGTGTAAAGTCCACCATTAGGAGCTACACAACTGCAAAAGGTCATTACTTTTATTATTATTTGCCCCGAGATTATAAAAAAAGTGGTAATTTTTGTCGCTAGTCTAGTAAACTTCAAGTGTGTTACATGTGTTTCCCCGCTAGATGGCAATGCTTCATCACTGCTGAGTTGGAGTTGCCAAGATCTAATTTGTTTATAGTGTAGAATTATTATTTATTTATTTATTTATTTATTTATTTATTTTTTGATCAGACAGATGTTAGAAAATAATTATATTACAACAATATAAGAATATAGGTTACAACATAAATGACATAGTTTGACATACTGTGGCATTATTTATTATTTATTTATTTATTTATTTATTTGTTTATTATTTATTTATTTATTTATTTTTGTCAGGTTTCCTGCATCTTAGTCAAATGCTCCTTGTGCACCACACTTTTCTAGTGTCCAAGATCCTCTATTGAATTGGGGTCAGATATCTGACAGAGCTCATTGTTGACCAGCCATATACCTCTTTGTCCTGTTGCTAGTCAGATGTTAATCTAACCTTTGTGGGTGGGATCATTGTCCTACAAAAAGATGAACTTCAATCTTCTGTTTTTAAAGAGGAGTTCTTTTCTCTAGTTCTTTTCTGCTCTTTAGATTTACTAGAGTTCGTAATAAACTAAAAATCATTTTACACACAAAACAGTAAGCTGAAACAATCTGAAAATTGGTCACAGAACAAATGTATCCATTTATTTATTATTCTGCCTTTTTTAACTTATATAATGGGAGTTACTCACATGTTTATGAATAAAACATGAAATATCAAGGGATGATTTGCTGAAGAACAAGAGGAAGAAAAACATTCTAACTGGTCAATGTAACCCTCCTCATATGATGTGAATGCGATAACTGGTCTGGTGGTCACGTTGTGTTTCCAGCAGTGGCCGCTAGGGGCAGTGCAGCTCGCTGTGTGTGTTTGTGTGGGTGAGTGGGTAAGTGAATGAGTGTGTACTGAAGGGCCGTGGGCTTTCATTCAGCGTGGCTCGGGACAGGAGAAGGGGGCTGAGCGCTTACTGGAGGAAAGGAGGTGGAGACCAAAGGAGGATTCATAAACAGGAGTTCATCTCCTAGTTTTAAAACGCCGCTCTCAGTTCAAACCTTCACGTAGAGTAGAACTAGACCACATTCAGAACTCACTAACCGACCCAACGCGACTGCTCGTTTCACTGGACAAAGTTGAATGGACTTGATTGCACGGACAACTCATTGTTTTCATTAACTTTTCAGGACGTCTTCCCACTTTAGCCGGGACATTAAACTTAACTCCATCAAACTTTATACGACTCGTCCTTGCTGACAAGACCACTGAAACGAACCGCTGCAGTGAATCTCTGGGATTTTTAAAGGAGAAAGACGACTGGAGGAACTCTCGCAAATGCAAAACTATATGTATGAGAAAGCGATGGCACCCGAAACAAGAAACGGAGGAACATCCACGTTAAACAACAACGGCGTAGACAACAGCAAGAGGAAACTTTTGATAGCACTAGACATCTTCTGCCTTGTCCTGGGTGAGTGTCCCAACACACAAAAAGTTTATATTATCCATATATTATGTCTAAAATCAAAGAACCATATGTAACGTTATATGTTTATATATATATATATATATATATATATATATATATATATATATATATATATATATATGAACCATAAGCTTATCTGTCTGTTTATTAGTCATCTCAAACTTGATCACAAAATGTACAAAAATACAGCATTCTGCAGTAATTGAGATCACAATATTAACCTAAAGGTTAAAACAATGTTAGGAAAATAAATAAAAATAAAAAGTTTGTACAGTTACGATGCAAAAAAATCATAAAAAAGTACACTGTTTTTGTATAGCATGCATCAGGTGGAATAAATGCTGACAATTTAAGGTTAAACTGGTTTAACTGTCAACCTATAGGAGAGTGCGTGAGCTGAATATAATGAACTAGCAGTTACTGTTTATAAAGATAACAATGCAAATAGTTTTTCATAATTGGCATTGGTATCTTAGTAAACAGAAGAATAGCCTAACCGTTGCAGGCTCTTATCACAGCCTGTAGGATGGGCAAAGTTGGCACTGTTGTTGATGTAAAACCACTTGGTTTTTTTTCTCCATGGGTTGTGTAAGAAACCTTATTTGGGTTGCTTTAATGAGACCTTTCTCACTCATCAGATGAAGGAGGGAGTTATTGTGGCCCTTTTTGTGCCCTATTGACATCTTTTGAAGTGGCATATGAACATGCTTATTATGGTTAACCAATCACTTGCATGTAACAGAATCATCTGTAGTCAAAACAAGTTCTGTAAACATGACTTCACGTTCACAGCTTTTTATAGTTGCGATGCAACCGATTTTTTAGGCAGACCATCACAGCCATGTGCAGTTGATTTGGATATGACGAGTTTATTATGACAGAGTTTATTTAGATTGGAAGTTCAGTACAGTCAATTGACCGTGCCATACTTGCCTTACAGAGATATCAGTAAATTGCTCTCAGGCGCATGTCTTTTCTTTCCAATTTTCTTTAACCCTATAAAGCTTACTGTGTCATTATTTGATGCACAAATTTCCAAGGGCTCTAAATTATCCACATATTCAAAACTTTGCTCAAACATTGTACTCAATCAATCTACCACATGATTGACAGACCATACTTTAATTGTACAAATACAATTTCAGGTTCTATTACGTGTCTTTTTTGTACTGATTTTTATATATTTTATATATATATATATATATTAGTAGAATTTCAAGATGAACAGTGAACACTTAATCCATACATATTGTTTTAAGAAAAATCATGCTAAAATGTGATACATCAGGCTTTTGAGGAACTTTTATTTGTATACCTGTTACATTGTATTGCAGTTCATTATGTTTAGAGCCACACAATTTCTTCTTTTTAGCACTGAAAATATCAGAAATTGCACCAAACTGCATATTTCTTTGCTCAGTTCAAGCCTTCCGAATAAGTTTTTCCTCCTCAAGTATGAGCTCTATTCTCATATTCTCCTACATCATACTAAATGGACCATTAATGCTTGATGTATCAAAATATGATATTCAAAACACTTTT